TCATCACTAGGTTGTAATTTCCTATTTGTCTGTTTCCTACATGGGATCAGGTCTAAGAGGATGAGGATCATTTATCTTGTTAACAGAACATCATGTTTTGTTTACATAACACCTTGAGAATTTACAGTGCCTTCTTGGCATGAAGAAGGAATTCAGGAAAGATAATGAATGAATCAACTAAATAAAGGTCAAAGTACCTGGACCACATGCCTGATGTTTTGTGTAGAAGCTTCCTATGTACCTTCTTAATTCACTAATATGTTTGCAATGGAAAAAGAAGAATGACCAAAAAGAAAAGCTACAATAGGAGTTATGTGAAAAACACAAACTTGCATTTATACTTATTATATAATATTTTATTTAATATGGTTATATAATCCTCAGGATCCAAACAGTGCTGAGAAAATAGAAGATACTTAACCAATAATGACCTGCTGAACCAATGAAAAGGATACGTAAAAAAAATCTAGTGGACAGACAGGATGTATTGTCTATTGACAGACAAAATATTTGTTTATTTCACACATCTAGCTTTTCAAAAAAATCCTATATAACTTACTTCTTCTAAACAAAATAACAAAAAATTCTGTGTAAAGACTTCATATGGCAAAGAAGAGAAGAAAATGATCATAAATTGAAAAAGAGGATTCAAATAGGGAATTTCAAAAACCAAAGAACAATTCAACTCTACCTAGTAGGTACTGGATAGAGTAAGTTTCAAGATTGTGAGAAAGCTATAATTGCCAGTTTAAATGTATTATACTACAAAAACATAACATTATACAATTGAAATCTTACCAGAATATATCTTCTAACACATCTAGAGGTAAAGGATGAGGATTAAACACAATAAAGAGTCTTTCTTTCACAGGAGTTTCTGGATCGGCTTTTTTTTTGCAAGATGGAAGTATAACATCTGTCTGAATCTGAGGCAGCTGTGATCCAGAACTTCCTCCAAATTGCTGCTGAAGAGTTAGGTACAACATAAGGAAAAGAAAAACTGTTTTTCAGGGATTTTTAGCCACAGCTACAGACATGTATATTGTAGCACCTATGGGGTCCCCCAATATGACTCTAAAAATTTTCTTACTTAGTAGGTAATGAAGAAACGTCCCATTTATCTTTGATTCTCTTGACTGCATTATAAGCGTGAAATTCTTACCTACTTACCAGAAATTGCTGCTGGCTTGGGTTATTCCACACCATTGAGGCAAGTTGTGCAGCTACCATCTGTGTGGCCATTTTTCTAAGGAGACTGGAGACAGTAACTGATAATTTACAGAAAGCTGGAAATAGTTCTAACAGTAATTTGCTTTGTGTGACTTCCCTGTGGGTCATCTGTTTTCAAATCCTGATTACATCCCTAGACACTCCCGGAATGGTACTTACTCTGTTGCATTACTCCCATCATCAATGAAGGAAACACCTATCCGGTTCCCAGGAGGGTACTGAAATCCATGTAACTTGTACTTTGCATAAATAGCTGATGCTACATTAAAATACTGAACCACTCCATGACCTAAAATACAGAATATGCAGACATGAAAAAGAAAGCAGATTAAAGCAGATTATAATGTATCTCAAAGGTGAAACAGTTTGAGTCACACAACTAGAAATACAGAATCAACAGTTTCAGATAATAAAGTTGTATCATACATGTGTGGTTCAGCAGCATTCTTAGAAAATAAAGCATAAGTTACATTTTGGAAAAAATATATGCTATTTGTTGGAAAATGGAGTTTTAACATATGTTCTGTATAATGATTTTGACTTTTATATATTGGCTTTTCCTATATAATATTACTATACCTACAAAGCTACATTTTTATTTTTTGAAAAATTTGAAATTTAAAAATTTTCCATACCATATTGGGTAGGAAATGAAATGAGAAATGTTTTAGGAAAAGAATATATACTCAGGTAGGTGAGCAGTGGAGAGAGAAAAAAATGTATAAAAAATAAAAGGTAAGTAACAGAAGGTCTCAGAACAAAAGTCACCAAGTTCACATTCTTGGGGGAGATTTCAGCTAAAGGGACAGATTTCAATTTAAAAAGTTGATATTGAAGGGAGAAACAATTTCGTACTGGAGAGCCCAGGAGCTGTAACCCAAGAAAAAGGTTTTTAGACACATTTAAAATACAATATACTTTGGGGAAAAACCTAAAATTTTATGTTCCTGTCTAAACCCAAGCATCCAATATTTTAATGAAATTAAAACACAGAAATCAAATGACCATTTAAACAACTGAAATAGATTGAACATCTTAGAACATCTCTGTTCCAATAACATACTCATCAGACATATCTAAGCATATAAAAGGTGCAGAAAATACATTTCAACATACTAGATAAATGGTGGTTGGATATGGACTTATATATAACTGTAACAACAAACGTGCCAGGAAACACAATATATGTGCCTAGGAGCTCTAAACAGAGAATGATGGTAAGATTAGGCTAAGGTTGGAGACAGCGTAAAGGAGGTGCAGAAGGAGAGTTGCGCTAGAAGATAAAGGCTGGGCAGGGCAACAGTGGGAACGTAGGGTGTCTGTCTGAAGGGTGAGGTGCTTCAGGGTTGCCAGCCCCAACCCAGACTCATTTCCCTACTCCCCCTCAACACTCACATCACTCTAAAATTAGGTATACCTATAGTCCTGGAGGAAATGCCAAGTATGATGTCTTCATATAGCCCTTTATTTCTAATTCTTCAACAAACAAGCAAAATTGCCTGGCATTAATCAAAAGATTACAAACCACAAACCCTATCACGAGGTATTTCCTTTTGCTACTTGAAACAAAGAATGTTTTATTTTGTGAGAGTTAAAAATTTTTTTAAATGAATAACTTTGTACAAGGAAGATACATTCTCAGGGGTTTGTTCATTAACATAGCAATGGATTTTAAAATCTGAAATAGAGAGAAAGCAAACATACAATTCCTGTCACACAACCAGTATCTGACATATAAAAAGATACTGAAGAAAAGACATCTTAACAAAATGTAATATACTTAAAAACAACATAGACAATATTTTACCATAATTTGAATAAGGATCTCGTTGAACTTCACAATACTCCAATCCTGGTACTATATCAAAAATGCTGAAAAGCTGCTCTTCAGTGAAAG